GACAAGAGAGGGATGTATGCACTGGGCCGCATCTCGACATGTAAACCACAGGCTGGGGCACTTGCGCTCCGAATTCCGGCTTTGCACCTGAAGCGCAACTTGCGTTAAATTAAACTATCTGTCTAGTGAAAAACATCAAAATCTGATTGGCTGTTGCAGTTAAATATCTTTGCATGCTTCCCAAGCAAAACATTTGCAAGATCCGCAAGGAGAAGGTAAAAAGTTTTGGATCGTTTTTGTGCTTTTTTCCCACTTATGCAGTACAAACGATATCACGGTAAAGTTGTTTGTGTGTTAAACTGAGCTGCCCTTATATTTCATGCATACATGCATGAAAATCAGTATTGACAACCTTGTGATTTTGTACCAAACTTGCTGGGAGCTAAAATTTTATGTGCTTGGTCCGTGATTGTGTGGAACCAATAACCATTTCCTTGTTTTCCAAGTAAGGAAATTTAGGAGAATACTCCTGTCAATATGCGGCCCCACAAGTTCAGATTGAACTAGACCTCACAGACAGATTCTTAAAAGCTTTCGCGGGGGATTGTTTAGCTTAAGAAATAGACATATCAGCGATTTTTGCACATAATAATCTTTAAAGCACTGAACATCCTTTAATATGGATCGAATTGCGCAAAACGCATAATCGCACAGACTGCCTTATTGCGCTCCATTATTTGCTGTTTGTTGTTTGAAAATCCGTTTTTGGGATTTCTAATCAAGCTAGCTACCTTTTGTACTCCGTTCTGCTGCAAGCAGACTGCATCTGCTTCATCGCTGCGATCGCTACAGTCTGGTTCCCCATCACACATTGAAACTTTTGGTATACATTCAAAACCATTCATGCACCGCACTTCTGTCCGAGAGTGGCATCTGAAATCAAAACACATATAGTTTCGCGAGATCATAATTCAAACAAAAAGCAGCACTAATTCCACTCTTTTCATTTGAGCCTGTTTCAAGCAGAGGGCAAAAAATACGGAGGGAAATAATCTCAACATTGAGTTAACTCAGAAAGATCTCATGAATGAGCCAGGAAAGGTTCGTGCAACTTTTGGAATGAACGCTGGCATTGTAACTGTAACAAAGCGCTGCTGAGATATTTTAATGCTTTTTCTGCACATAAGCAGATTAAAACCCAGGCTGGAACGCACCGGACGGGCCCGTGCGATCATGCGTTTTTGCACAGGACTTGA